CAAAAATTTAAGAATTCCAAAATCTTATGGAAATTTTTAACCAAAAGATAAGTAAAATTCCATTTTTAATTACATTCATATCCCCATTTTACAACTGAAACAACTAAGCAAAGAGAAGATAGGTGAGTTGCCCAGGAGAAAATGAAGCTGGCCTCCACTCCCAAGCCAGCGTCCGCCATATTCGCCCTACCCTCCTCTGAGACAGTCTCTGCACTTTCTTGGTAAAGATTGGGGGCTCAGTGGATGGGAAACATCATCATATCTGGGTTGACAAGGTAAATTGGATGGTCCTGCCAGGGAGGATTGGGTCTGACCATTTCGCACTGACTCATGTAGATTCAAGGAAATTGAAGTGGAGCTCTCCCTAACCTCCAAGTGAAAGGGTGACTTGGTGAGTCCCCAGGCTCAGAACTCCAAATGCAGCACAATTGGACTCTTAGCATCTTTTGGGTGGAAGAACCAAGGGCATCAGCAATCACTCAGTTGTCCAAGCCAGTGTGGCATCTGGACTTAAAAGCTAAATGAAGTTGGTGGGAATCGATGGATATTTTTTCACCAGCTGCCATCTTGGACATCTGGGCATGGCTGGCCCTAGATCTGGAATATGGCTGAACTTCTCAGGATTTCAGCATGTTTGCCCCTAGATGATCATGAAACCAGTTGACTATCCTTTATCTGAATGCTTGGCACCAAAACTGTTTCAGATTTTGAATTCATCTATGTTACATCTATACACATTATCTGATACAATATTTTTAATAACTTTGTGCATGAAACAAAGTTTCACAGTGTGGGATATTTCTACTTGTGGTCAAAAAGTTTCAAATTTTGGATTTTTGGATTAATGATGCTCAGCTTGTACCAACCTGGCAAGGTTGTAAGAAAGATGTGAGATGATATATATCAAAAACCAAGAACAGTTAATGTCCCTTAAGGGAGACTCAATAGTGGTCACTGTAGACCCAAGTCAGCAGCCCAGACATCAGCAGTAGCACTGAAACCACAGGTCATTGTCTCCAAAGTTCAGCTGGACCTACCTTCACAGGCCCCTCAGCTCCACAGGGAGACTCTGCACTCGGACTCCAGCTCTGTACTCACTACTCAAGTGACTTCAAGCAAATCACTTCTGGGGTGCCTCCCTTTTCTAATCTGCAGCATAAGATCATAATAATGAATACTTTGTATGTTAATGTGAAGTACTTAGAGCTGGGTCTCACATATAATAATACCCCATTAAGTACTAGGTATTACTATTATTCAGAACCAAGTTTGAACCATTCCTAAATGTCAGTTTGGCCCTGATTTTTATTTACCATAAGGTCAGAGTGAAAATCTTTGTCCCTCTTTCCTTAAAGACTTTCACATCCTCACCTCCTCCAGGAGACCGGTCCTTGGCTCTCCCTTTTGCCAGAACTACCCTTGTCTTAACCTTCATTTGCTTCATACAACTCATTCAGAGCTTTTAAGAATTTACCCATTAGAAACTGAAATCCACCTAAACTAAACTAAAACAATCCATTTGCCCTTAAAAAGCTCCATTTGGGTTGATTTTTTAAATCTTGTGGGATTCCTGTTTTGGAAAGTTCCTCTTCTGCAGAATTGGGTAAACATATTTTGTATTTCCCTTCTATTGACTCATTCACAAAGAGTTGACTGGGCTCTCACAGCGAAGGGCCCCACACCCACCCCGGAGGAGGGAAAACACATGAAACCTGTCCCTGTCCTTCAGAGCTGTCAGAACAGGGACCAGGGTAATGCACAGGAATGACCACAACGCAGCGTCAAGAACGTGGCCCGTGGTCCTGGACTCAAGTGGAATAAGTAACTAGCAAATCAGAAACCATTATTAATCTAAAGTATTCCATGTGCTACTGGAACATACCAAATGCTGGCTGCTGAATCTAAAACCAAGAAGCATGTTGTCACTCAGGAGTGCACAAACACACAAACGCACACATTCATAAACACACACCCGCACATGTATAAACACACCCCCACACAGACACACACACATTTTCCAAGTTTAGAATTAGAAGACATCATCAAAGTTTTGGTGTGCTGCTCTTCAGAAACTATATATATTACAGAAAGTAAGACATAAATAAATTATAAGACTTGAGCATTTGCAATCTAAACATGAAAAAAAAAACAACAAAATGCTCCAAAATCTGATATTTTTTGAGCACTGACGTAATAAAAAATGTTTAAAATTTTGGAGCATCTTGGATTTGGGATTTTCAGATTAGGGATATTCAAACATGTACATGAAAAAAATCTGAAAAACTCTGAAATAAATCTGAAACATTTCAGATCCCAAGCATTTTGGACAGGGATACTCCGCATGTAGTAATAACAACAATAATGATAGAATCACTTTGCAATTGCATTTTTTTCCATTAATAGAAAAAGGTCCTCTATGCTGCTGCTCTATCTTCTCAGGGCAGTTTGTGGCATGGATAGAACAGTCCTTGTCTCTAACTTTTTTTCCTTTTCTTTTCTTTCTTTCTTTCCTTCTTTTTTTTTTAAGAGACAGGGAAGGTGTCACTATGCTGCCCAAGCTGATCTCAAACTCCCTGGCTCAAGCCGTCCCCCTGCCTCAGCTCCCAAGTAGCTGGGACTATAGGCATGAGCCTCTGCATGGAACTTCTCTAAACGTTACAACTAAAAAAAGAGGAAAAAAATCATAAAAGTGAGGTTTACCCCAGGTGGTTCATCAGAACAAAATCAGAGCAAAAGCCTCTGCTTCACCACTCCGAGCACACGTTCTGAGAGACATCAAATGAGGCCACAGACCTCAGAAATTAGGTTGACACAAGTTACGATAAAAGGTGAAGGCTTCGGCGATGAGTAACCAAGAAGTCAGAAACCAAACCCAAGGGACAAAAGAGGAAGCCAGGAGGTTTTACTAAGGGTTTCTTAAAGTAAACTAGGACAACAAAAATAGCTTTTGCCGGTTATTTCAGGTTAGAACAAGTTGTTTTTTAAAATGGTAAAACCCAATGCTGATAAACATACTAGAAAATGGAATTCAGACATTGATGATGGGCATATCCATTAAAAGCACATTCCCAGGATTAATCTAAAAGTTGAGTTCCAGGGCTTTGAAAATTCTCTTGTCCTTTGACCCTGCAATTTTACCTCTAGAAATTTATCCCCAGGGAATATTCATAAAGCAATAATAATCAAATGTCCGTCAAATAATTCAATAAATTATCTATGCAATCTAATTTAAAAGCAGTGGTAAAAGGAAATTCATTGCCACAGCAAGATGCTCACAATATATTGCTTATATTACAACTGAAATATATTGCTGAGAGGTAAATGTATGTAACAAAACAGCGTGCACAGGACAAGTATATTTCTTCAAGATGTGAATACATTCAGAGAAAAAGACACCCACCAAAATGTTAGTACAGGTTCAGCATCTCTTATCCAGTGCTTGGACAGAAGTATTTCAGATTTCAGAGTTTTGTAGATTTTGGAATTTTGGAATCGATTTTCCTAATTAAGCATTCCTGATCCCAAAATCTGAAATGCTCTAAAATCCAATTTGGACTATTTTGGATTTCAGATTTTCCGATTATGGTTGATCAGTGTGTAGAATTTCTCTCATAGTGATATGTTGCTATTTTTTATCTTTTTAAATTATCTAAATGTATTCTTTTTTAAATTTTATTATTTTGACCATGAGCATGTGATATTGGGGTAGATTTTTGAAGGGCATATTTTAAAAGTGGGTCTCCACCATTCCTTGACCTGGCTGTCAAGTTTTTCTCCTGAGTAAACTAACTGGGCTTGTGCAAATAGGGCTCATGGGTTCAAAGATTAGCTGCATGTTGTACTGGGAAGGTCAAGTTCATCTCAGAAAGCATTCCTGCATCATTCTGGACAATCACATCTTCTTTCTTCCAACAGATCAACCCATTTATGATGAAGAGAAATCCCAGGCACTGGACACACCACCACTGTTCCCAGATGTTCTTAGTGAATATTTGACTCTCCACACCTGTCAGCCACCGGCTGCTCCTTAAAAGGAGCATCCTTCTCCACCATCCTTCAATTCACACTCTCACAAACACAGTGCAAAAGTAGCAATTTATCTAAGAGCAGCAGAGAGCTATAAACTGAATTGAAGTGAGTGGCATGGATAGAACCTCATTCTGTCCTCTTATTTCCTTCCCTTAATCTGTCCTGTTCTGTCTCATTTTCTGATTCTTTCCCACAAAAACACACCGTTATTGGGAATCATAGTGGTGAAGATGCCCAATAAGAAAGGCAGTTTCTAATCCCCTCTCAGAGGGCACAGTCTTCTCTACAGGTCTATGTGTAACCTTTGCAAAGCTCCCTACAGTAAGTCATCCTGTGCTTTTCATGTTACATTTTAAGCCCTTATCAAAGGAATCATGTACAAGTCTTGCCAGCACAATGCATTGTGACATCATCATCATTATATACTGAGAATTGAATGCAGGAGCACTTTCATTACTGAGCTACATCCCTGGATCCTTTTTATTTTTTGATTTTGAGACAGAGTCTCGCTAAATTGCGGAGGCTGGCCTTGAACATGTGATACTTCTGCCTCAGCCTCCTGAGTCACTGGGATCACAGTGCATTATAACCGTGAAGTCTCTTAAGCCTCCAGCAAAATTTTGAGTGAGATTATGCCCCTCTAAAACTGTAGATGCTTAACAGATAGTGATATATCTTAATTCTAACATCCACACCAGCATTATAAGAGGATCTTATTTAAAATGCCCATCATTTATAACCCTCTATACTTCCTAAAGTCACATAACTTTATGGCTTATCAGTAGTATACCGTCATTAGTAAATCTGCCACTAAATAAAGCATAGGTGATCATAAGTTATCCCTTAATATGGCTCATACACACACCTGAAGGTTTAATGTGCCTACAGAGCCATACCTAACTCCAAGAAACTCCCCCCTACCACCAACAGAAAAAAAAAAAAAAAAACAAATGGGTAATTAATCATCTTACCGTTTCTGTTCATCGTTGGGGCATTTGGAAATGGCTGGCCTCGTGGGAAGCAGCTGCTCTCAGGATAATTCAGCAAGTTTTCTTCCCCCAAATGAAGCCTGCGGGTGGACGCTGGTTATTAAAAACAAAAGCACATTCTGAAGTCAGCCCTGGAGAGTTTTCCTAATGCTTTTCTCCCCCTTTCCCAAAGAGCCCTGAGCTAGGGTCTGTGTCACATGAGAATGACACCTCAGATCTTGTCAGACACCCCAGAGAAAGTGGGCTCCTGGTGACGCCTGTGTCAGGGACTCTGAAGGCTTTAATCCTTCGGCAGTGACACATCTGGGGAGCTATGAACAGGAAATCCAGACCTGGGCAGCCAGCCAGAATCGTTCAGCAAACGTGCCAAGCCCTTACGAAACACCAGTACCCTCACTGCACATTAACCTCCACTGTTTCACAAGGCTGTTGTCTCTCTCCTCACGACCTTGCCTTAAACCTGACATCAGGGTCCTGACCACTCGGGGCCAGGCCTGGAGTCTTGTCTCCTTCACTCTCAGCCTCGGTGAGCAATTGCACTGAGGGACGCCCCCATTCGGTTCTGCTCACGTTCCAGACATCCAACCTCTCTGCTTAATGGTGCCCACCACCCTGTCGCCTGCCCTGAGAACACTGGAAGTCTCTCTTCTCTGCATCCTCCCCGGCTCAGGACTGATGCTCCAGAGCAGCAAGTAGAGCAGGCAGGGCATGGGGAGACGGGAGCCATAGCCAGACTGATCTGCACTTGGGAGGCTAAGCTGGCAGGGTGCATTCTCATGTCCTACAGCCCCTCATGTGCCCGGCATTGCTATGAGTGTTCTCAGTGTAATGCAGAGTCCAGTCTGTCTTGGTGCTAGCCCAAAACCTCCTATTCCAGCACTCAAAGCCCCCATTTGCTGGTCTCAAATGCATGTCCACTTCTGCTTCCATTGCCCTTTCCCAGAAACTTTTGCACTGACTCTAGAAACATCCTTTACACCTTCAGTCCTACTGTCACCTCTGCAGCTCCTATTCTGCCATTTTCTTCCTTACCCTGTGGAATGTGAACCTACCGAGTGCACCTCCCACCACCTCTTTGCCCCTCTTCCCATTTTCTGGTCTTCGCCCCTGTTCGCTCAAGCACACCTCCACTGCTCCCTGGGGTGGTTCCTCCTGCTCTGAACCCATGCCTTCTCTCGGTGCCATTAACAGGGTTAGCAAGTGATCCATGCCAGGACCTCTTCTAGGAAATTTAAATTATTTGATCCCGTTCTACAGATGAGGAACCCAGTCAAGTACCCTTCTCTAGATCCCTTAGCCAGGCAGGGATGGAGCCCAGGTGGAGTTCAGTCCAGCGCTGCTCTTCAAGTCTTACCTGAGACTCAGCACAATTTATTTGGGAACAGGGCTTATCTACTCAGGAACTGTGCAATTTCCTAGCAGTCAGTTGCATACTTCTTGGTACCTTTCCCAGAGGACAACCCATTCTAGGCAATGACCAAGCAGCTATGATTAACTGGTAGATTAATTACCTCTTATTGAGAGCACAAATGTTCCAATGTAGCCATGGACGGGGATGGTAACCCCATTAATAAGTACAACCGTCCTGGAGTTCAAGGCAATATTCCCAAAGAGGTTTTGCTGACAGTTCTAACCTACCTTTAATGTGGATGTTCAAGTCTAAGCCATCTGGTGAATCAACAGACGGCTGAAGACATAAACACATTGAGACCCCTGACATGTCTCTCAGAGGTCAGGTGGAAATTTCCACCTGCCTCCAAGGTGGAATCTTGGGAGGGACACGCTCCACCCCAACCCCAAGGGCAGCCCCTCTGGTCTGAGCCAACTTGGGTAAACCTCCCTTCTGTCCAAAAACACCAAGAGACAGGCTTGCCCAGGGCAAAGCTCATCAGCACACAGACTGCTCCTGACCGCGTGCGTGGGTTCAGGGCTCCTGTTGGACAGTGGTGGGGAGCTAACCTCTAAAGAGGACAGCTGTTGACACCCTTCTTAAGACAAAAAGGGAAACAGCTTGAGGAATAAGCCCATGCACAGGGAAGGGCTTCTAGAGAAGTACAGGGAGAGTGCTAGAAACTAATCCAAAACACATATGATCTCTGGGCTGCTCAGGGATGGATGCCAACGGATCCTCTTTGGTTTTGGATTTGTTTGTTTTGTTTTGTTTTTTAAGTCGGGTCGTTTGGGTCAGGTTTTCAATCATCTGCAACCGTGTGTCCTGGCACCCTCCACAGAGATCAAGAGCAGCCGAGGAAGCTGAGGGAGGGACATTGTGCAGGAAAGAGTACGACCTACTTCTTTGCCTGGGGCTCCCCGTACCTCCTCTTCCTCACCCTGCTCCTCCCAGTCCTCCTGCACCGCCGCCTTCTTCCTCTTCAACTCCCTCCCTCTCTTTTGATTCCCCTCCCCTCCCTTTTCCTCTCCCTGCTCCTCCTCCTCTGCCTTCCTCTCCCTCCTTCTTCCCCCTCCAACCCCTCCTCCTGCTCCTCTTCCTACTTTTTTCTCCTTTTTTGATGTTTCCTCCCATTAAGAAAGAAAAGCAGCAGAGCGGCTCAGAGCAGATGAGAAGAGGCCAGCAAGGAGAAGCTGTCACGGTGGTGGTTTGCAGCTTTGTGACAATGCCTCCCAGTGAGTCCCCGGTCACCGGAATACTCTCAGCAACAAGCAGTGTGTCTTCCCAGACCCCTGACCCGCAGCAGACGGTGCTAAAGGCTCAATTCATTCCAGATGCCTCTGGCTTCCCAAGGGTTGCAAGGCCCCCGAAGAGTCACCGAGATCTGGAAGCCCAGCCCTTGGTTCCAACAAGCTGACGTCTGGTCAACAGTGGCCTGGACACAGCCCACCACAGGCATTGGCCTCCTCAAGTAGAACTTTGTCACCCCAATTTTTCTTAAGCCATTATCGTTACTGAACAGCGAAAGGGGAAGATTTCATATCAAGGATCTTTGTGGTCCTCATTTCTACTCCATACACTTTTTTCTCTCTCTCCTTCCCACTTCTCAACAAAATGTCGGGAATCAGCGCACTTTCTTTAACAGGCGTGACACACACATATGCACGCACGCAGACACACTCACTCCTGCCTGAGTTTTCTCAGCACTCTCTTCCCCTACAGAGTTCAGAGGAAACAAAGAGTCATCGTTGGCAACAAAAATTCAATACCAGAAGTTAATGGAAAATCTCCAAACCTCCAGGGTCCCTTGTGAGAGCTACAGGATAGAATTCACTGAGCCACGCCCAGAGCTTTTAATATTAAACTATCAAGAGACAACATCATAACGCAATTTCATTGGTAAACGTGATCTTTAAAGAACTCCAGAACGTGTGTACTCACACATGAAAGGTCAGCGGTAACTCATCTATTTTCCTGGGAAAGTTTTCACATTCAGAATTGATTTGCATTTAAGAAGATGTTTAATGTAATTAAAATGCATGTGTTTCCTACATATCACAATGCGGGAGAAAGGAGACTGAAGATGCATGGACAGTCCAGCTGCGCATGTGTGTGTGAGCGTGTGTGTACGTGTGTGCACGTGTATGTGTGGGAGTGCCAGCGTGCATGCCCTCAATCTAGTCTTGGCTCTCCCTTTAAAATGCTATGGGTCATCCAGAAAGGGCCGTCAGCCTGTTTTACGAGGTCCAGCAATTCTGTAATTAAATTAGGCAGTCTCTAAAAGGCCTTCCAGCGACACATTCTATTAGTTTAACCCTTGTCCCTGTACACAGAGCAGTCATCACACTGTGCCCGATGGCCGCCTTGTAACCTTGGCGGTCAGCCTGGAGAATCAGGCTCGATTGCCTGCCTGCTGATTTCACTCCTGTTCCAGGCAATGACACATGAGCCATTCAGACCATCCTGTGACTCCCAGTCCACCAAACTACACCGTGTCCCCCAGTTTCTGACCGGAGGATGCACCCTCATCCTCCATTCTTTCAGACAGACAGATTCCACGTCCATTTCTGGGTCTGAGGGGGTTTCGGTCACAGAGAGTCTAGTCTTTCGGTGCTTCCTGGAGCCACAATTGCCAAGGAAAAGCACGAATTCACTAAACCAGCCAAGTCTGGTGAAGCTCATTCAATCTTTTGTCCGACGGGGAGATTGGGCAGAACGCTGTAAAGCTTGGTGAATCAGGACTTCCTGAAAGCACTTGAAAATTCCTGTCTTGTGAGAAAAATGGACCATGTGCTTAGCCGAGTTAGATACACATGCAGCCTCCCGTATTCTGTGATAAGTGGTCAGTTGGAAGAGCGGGTTCTAGTGGAAGACCTCGGGCTTGGTGCTTGATGGCATCCTGCTTCCTGTATGTGCAGCTGACTGCTCCTCTCAGGAAAGAGGCAGCCAGGTGGGTGTGGACAGGGTCCTGGTCATCCTTTGGCTGTAGAATCCACAGCAGAGGGATGCAAGAGAGAGAGGAAGGAAGTAATACATTTTCAAAAAAAAAGATTCAAGGTTCTATGATTCTGATGTGATTTGTCCCCCAAGGGACATGAATGTAGAAAAGAATATCTCAAGACCAAGCCAGAGATGGGGTAGGAAGCTGGAAGTACAGATCAGGTTCCTACAGCAGAAGGGCAGAGCTACGAGGTTCACCACATCCTGGAGGACCTGGAGTAAAATGGACTGTGAATTCCTTGAGTAAGAGAATCAGAATCCCAAAAGTTCCATGGTTCCATTAGAATGGAACCATGAGCCAAATGTAACAAATGGAATTTAACATACATCTAAAATCCCATTCTTACTTTCTAAAGCTGATTTCATGAATACAGGCTAGGGCATCCATAAAAGCAAAAATACAGATAGAAAAACAAACAAAAGAAACAAATGCTGGGATCTTGATTAACTAAGCCACTATGGATGACATGTGCTTAGCTGCCTTTCTGAAAATGTGACTTCTAATACAACAGAGAGTGGTCACCGTAGGGTTCAGGGTGGTACTTTCCAAGAATTTTCCCATCATGGCACTCAGAAAGAGCCATAGCAAGGGCTTCCTGTTGCCAGAGTAGAGCAGCAGGCTCTCCCCCTGCCCCCAGCCAGTGGACCGAGAGGGCTGCTATCTGCACACCTGGGAGCCATCCAGCCATGCTTGCGGTCAAGTTGCCCTACCCCAGAGATGCAACTGGAAAAACTGGGTAGAAAGTTCAAGAGACGAGCATAAACAAGACCCTTTTAACAACAGAGTTTGGTAATGAAATGGGCCAAACCTAAAGATGGTATTTTCCGCATCTTTGAAGCATTCCAACCATGACCACTTGGATGGGCATGACAATCTAGTGGAAT